ATGAAGATAATGCTGCTTGTATTACACAACTCAAAGGAAGTTATATCAAAGGTGACAGGACGAAACATATTTCTCCAAAATTCTTTCATACATACGAGTTTCAGAAGAATGGCGACATTGGGGTTCAACAAATTCGTTCAAGTGACAATTTGGCTCATTTATTTACAAAAGCACTGCCAATATCTACATTCAAGAAATTGGTTCACGGGATTGGAATGCGTCAACTCAAGGATTTTCAATGATCAACATCAAGGAGAGTAGCTGTACTCTTTTTCCTTCGCTTAGGTTTTATCCCACTGGGTTTTCCTAGTAAAGTTTTAATGAGACAGCATTTATCTTTAATACTCCAAAATAACTACTCTTTTTCCTTAGTTTTGATTTTTTTTAATCCCATTGAATTTTTAACAAACAAAGTTTTAACGAGGCAGATATTTTGTAATGTGTCATTCAAGAGGGAGTGTTGTAAAAGGAAACTAAATTAGAGTTTAATGTGAATGACACTTGTACCCCCTGCAGCCCTAGATATTATTACCATACATATCCTTATTCCTTGCCTATAAATATTGGACTTTGGTTCTCATTACAATACACACAACTCTATTGACATCTCTAATTCTCTTCTCTTTTCTCTCTCTTTATAACAAAATGTAATTATTCATTTTCAGTAAAATGGGGTTTTATATTACAAAGCCATAAAGTTCAAAGGCATTCAGCAATTCACCTTAATTATTATTTTGGCCCTCCCTACTTATTCAAATGTACCACTTTTTGCCCCATAAAATTAAATTTGCCCAATTGCCCCGTTATGGAGACATGCAAGGATCTTGGTGCCATTGGCATCGCCAGAAAGACATCACTTTGATAGGTCATGAACAAGTTATTCGGGACAAATGTTTATACACACAAAATCTGGCTAACATAATATAGATTACAGTTCATGTTCAGAATCGTAAATACTGATAATCCCACCAACCGTAGATCAGACGATAGATTCCAAGTTCAGCGAGACGCACAAAATTGAAAACTGAAAAATTTAAATGTTTTTAGTCAAGAAAAGACTGACACACTTGAAAATCAATCCATCTCCTAATTGGGAGAGCAAACGGGCGGCGGGATCCTCCTGTATTACATCTACCTTAAAAATGCAGACCCTAATTCCCAATGTGTAGCAATGCAATAATGCCAACTAGTTACGCTGAGATGACCATCAACCAAATGACTGCTTACATAAAATCATAGTCGTCATAGTCATCATATCCACCACCACCAACAGCCACGTCATCTTCAGGCTTGCCAACCTGCAGTTGTTTCTTCTTTCCACCTGCAAAAAACATGCTGCCACTTGTTAAAAACTTCGCCATAAGGACAATTATAACTTGTTAACACAAAATTGATATACCAGTCTTCTTTTTGCCGGCATTGGCTTCTTTCTCTGCTTTTATCTTTTCATTGGCAATTGCACTCACCGAAGAGGCAACTTCTTTGGCATCTGACCCTTTCAAACTAGTCATTGACAATCTCATTACAGCCTTAAGCAATCCAATATAATGAAAGCTTTTCTGCAATGAAAGAGAGAGACCAGTTATACCTATGCAAAATCAATTTAATACAAACACAGACAAATCAAATCCCACGAAACCTCGTATGGACGAAGCTTATGAGCAACAAGTTCAGCATATTCTAAGAAGTCGTTTTCGGTTTTAGGAATGAAATTATCAAGAGTCTTCTCATCACCCTTCTTAGCAAACAATTCCGTAGTAGCCCGATAATCAGCTTCTTCGACAAGCCTGTGAAACAGAAAAAGGTTACAAAATTCATCGCAAAATGTGTTGCAGGTTACGTTAGCATTAGCAATGGAAATAAAAAGTTCCAGAAAAATAAAAAAAGTTCTGCAAAGCACGTCAAAAATTTATGCATTCCCTCCCTTTCCTTCAATGAATGACAGAAGCAGAAAGAAATGACTTGGGAAAATACCACCTTTTCTTTACAATTAATGAAAACAACCCAGCCTCGACTGAAACGATAAGAGGCTTATGTTCCACTAATTTCTGGAACCGATTATTAGGCTTTTCAGCTATCAAGATTAGTTCGAACAATAACTAGTCAGACTCTGATGACAGGTTTATAAATATTGAAGTCCCACCTCTGCTGTCGGAGTTTTTCCTCAATAGGATCTAATGGTGCCTCCTTTTCAGCTTCAACAGGTTTCCCTTTCTTTTCACCAGATGTGGCTGCAACCTTCTTTGGGGCCTTTACAGGTGGTGGCTCAACTTTAGGTGCCTGACCACATCACCCAATGAAAGAAATCAAAACTGAATACAACAAATTAGAATAAATTCCACAGCAGGCGCAAACCAGAAGGCAAGGGATTTTAGGCCTTGCAAGGTGAAGTGAATATGGGGCTTAGGGATTAAGACTTCCATGGTATAATTTTTATGTATGTTAATTAAATAGACATGTAAAGAACCAGAAACAAAAATAAAAATAAATAAAAAATGAGCAAGGAAAATTATATAACACGACTGAAGAAGATAATTGAGATCTAGAAGGATTCAACTACAAGATATAACGTCCTAAAGCTAGATACTTAATGTCAAGCATTGATAGTTCAATGTTATAACACTGATATTATTAAGAAATCTCAAGTTTATGGCATGTAGCTTCATTTCTCAGTATTTGATCCTAACTTAGACCAGATACTCTAAGACGCAAGCCTTTGAGGCATGGCATTAAGAACATTGACAAAGCTGGTATCACTATAATGCCATCGTACATGTGTGTGTGGGTGTTTCAAGGGAAAGTGAAAGAAACTAAAGCAACCCATTTTTCCGACGAACCAATCCTATTGTGGAGTAGATCCAAGTGAATCAGGTGTCATACAGATTTGATTCAGTCAAAACACTTTCCATGATGCTGATAGTAAAATTATGGTGAAGCAGAAAAATGTTCAGTACCTTTATCAACCTTAAACTTTCAATATACAATGTAAAGACACCATGTTTGTGGCATTATTAATAGTGAGGACTGAGGAGCATGTGCTGAGCACAGTAATGAAATAAAATCATATACATTGCCTGTCTAAGTTAATCAACCAATGAAAACAAAAAAGGACAACATTCGTATTTAAATAAAAGTACAATATTCCTAAATCCAACTTCAAATTATATCTTATTCAGAGTAAAATTTGAACGCGGCACAAGTAAAACAGACAGGCCATCAATGATCATACCGGAGCAGGCTCGTCTTCATCTTCCCAAGATTCTTTTACATCATTATCATCCAGATCTTCATCATCCCATTTACTCTTCGGTTGCTCCTTTTTGAGAAGATCTAAAATAGGCTCATCCTCTGAAATACAGAACACTATTATTAGAATCTACAAACCTATATACCTCAAAATGCAATAAAAGACAAAATAAAATCCTATCAAGACCTTCAACACTAAAACCTGAACGCATGCAGTCTAATAAGGCATCACTAATTTGCCAAACTAGTTGCAAGTTGTAACATGTTATGTTATGCGCTCTCAGAACACCATACAACAGGCAAAGGGATTTCAATTGACATCATGAAAAATATAAATTTGTTCATCGTCATACTATAGGGACACCTAGAAGCATGTCTGTCGCTCTCCAATAAAAAAAAGTCAGGAAAGTGCAATCACAAAATCATGACTACCAAAAAAAATAATAAATAAATAAAATAATAATAATAATAATAATAA